CGTGGCCCAGCAGGGCAGGGGATGGTGACCCCCTTGGCCAGTGGGCCTGCAGGAGCCCTGGGCGCATTCCTTTTGCCTGCCCCCCCCCAGGCTCCTCCCGCTTTTATTCGATCGAGTTACAAAGGGCACGAGGAAAGCAGCGGGCTGCAAATAGTGCAAGGCTCTTTATTTTGACAGATGCCAGCCGGAGGTGCCCCCAGTACCAACAGAAGCACCAGGACGGGCACTGATAGAGGGGCAGAGACCCCAGGTCCAGCCCCTGGGGGGTTCCACGGGTGCTCCCCCCCACCCCAGGGCTGCCGCTGTGGGCACCCACGCAGGGGCAGCTCCATGCTGCTTCCCGTGACAGAGCAGAACGTGGCAGCAGTGCAGGCAGCACCAAGCTGCGCTCGCCCCCGCAGCCCCTGGGGAAGGCGGAAGGCTCTGATCCCACAGCCTGCAGGGCTGCACGCTGAGCTCAGGAGCATCCCACAGGATGCAGCGCCCCGAGGGTCCCCACAGCAGCCCCCCACGCAGGGGAAAGTGCCACGAGCCACACAGGAGCCGTGCTTTGTCCCCGTGTGCGAGTGGCAGGTGACAGGGGACAGAACTGCGTGCTCACCCTGCCTGGCTTCCTCCTCCGAATCCCTCACCCTCGGCACAGCAGCCTGGGGGGAAGACCAAGCACCGGGCAGATCCCAGCTGCAGGGCAGAGCAGGACAGGGGTTTGGCACACACCACACAGCAGCTCCAGGGCTCCGGTTGGGCGGGGAAGGAGAGGAGCAGCCCCTCCTGCCTGCCCACATCCAGTCCAGCAGGGCAGAGCACGGCGTTCAGGGCTTGCTGCAGAGCTCCCCGACCCGCTGCCGCAGGTGGAAGGCAAACTCAAACATGGTGGCTGCCAGGCTCTGGTGGATGAGGTACCGGGGCAGGCGACCCTGCGAGGAGAGCAGAGGAAACAGAACACGAGTGAGGGGGGCAGCGCAGCAACCCAGAGGGAGCGGAAAGGCCCTGCAGGACCCCCCCTCTGGGCGCCCAGAAGGTGTGGGGACGGGGCTGCACACCGCGGCGGGGAGCTGCTGCTCTCAGGGAGTTCTGGGATCTGGGGGAGGAACTGAAGCACGTTTTGATTTCCCTAAAAAGCCCTGCACGACTCAACCCGCGCCGCCTCGGCCCGCGCTCCATTATCTGCTAAGAAAATCAGCCCAGGAGCTGCGGGGGAAGGCAGCAGCACCGGGCTGGGAAGGGGGCAGGTGCTGAGGTGCAGAGAAGGAGGAAGGGGCCACGTCCCCCTGCCCAGGGCACAGGAAAAGCCCCGTGGATGTGGGAAGCCCCCACTGCGGGGCTTTTCCCCAAAGCAGGCTTTCCCCTCTGCCCTTTGGGGCTGGAACAGCACCCAGCTGAGGAGCGGGGGCCATTTTGGGCAGCTCTCCAAGCTGAGCAGGGGGGCAAAGTGCCAGCACAGACACAAACACACACACACACACACACACACACACACGTGTGCAACCCTTGCCCTTCGCTGGAGGAAGGGATGAGCCACGAGCTATAAATACGCCGTCAGGGCCAAAGGAAATACCAAGGCAGCAGCGACCAGGGCTGTGAGCAGCAGCAGAGCCCTTCAGGAAGATGGTGGAAGCATTATTAATAGCTCGGCTGCTCTGGCATTTCTTCCAGCAGCAGCAGGAGAGCACTCGGCGTCCTGGGAAGCACAGAGCGGGGACCTCCCCTTTCCCAGCTCAGTTGTGCAAGATGGAGCCGATTTCCCTCCAGCCCAGCTCACTGCAGAGGGAAGGAGGAGGCGGAGGAGAGATTTGCACGAAGGAGAAGCAGCTCCAGCACCGACCCCGTGCCGAGCAGAGCCAGGGGCAGCGAACCGGGCGCAGCCGTGCCACGTCCCAGCCAAGGAGCCGCCAAGAGGATCCGCTTGCACGCAGCCTTTCCAGAGCCCAATGCTGAACGGCAGCCGAGCTGCTCCGTGGGAGGGGAGGGCTGTGGGAGGGGAGGGGGCCGCGCCGCGCAGCGCCGATGAATGGAGCCTTTGTGCTCGCTGCTGCAGCGCCGTTTCCACACCAACCTCGGCGCAGGAAGAAAACAGGGCAGCGCCCCCCCCTCTCCCCCCCGGCTCCCCGCCTGCTGCCTTTGTCCCGGCCACCAGCAAGGACTCTGCGTGCAGCTCCACAAATAGCTCCGGATTTGGGTCACGGCGCGGGGCTGAAGCGCTGCTCTCCGCGTGCGGCCGCAGCTCCGCGGGGGTCTGCGTTTGTGCCGAGGTGTCTGGGAGCAAATGATTCATCCCTGCTGTAGGTTCCTGGAAGCAGCCAGGCAACGCTTCCCTGTCCAACTAACGTTGGATGAAATCACCTCTTCCCAGTCCCCGCACAGAGGTGAAGCCCCGTAACCAAGATCTGTCAGGTAAGGAAGGGTTTCCCAGATCTACACCGGGGAAACTTCAGGGGGAAAGAGGGAGATTTTCAGGTGGTGATCAGGTCCTGTCTGCAAAACTCAGGCCCCACTACTGCAGCCTCCAAGAGCAGCTCAGAGCCGTGCCCAGGGGAGGCTCACAGCAGGACAGCAGCCCCTGCACTGCCCAGGTGGAAGCACAGGGCAGGTCCTCAGCCCCATCCTGCTGCAGGCAGAGCTTTAGGAGCACACTGATGAGCTCTGCTGGGGTTGGGACACGGCCACGACGCTCACACATCAGTGCTTTACATCAGTGCTTTACCTTCAGGTCCGTGTTTAGAATCCAGATAAAAGTGCAGACCCGGGGGTTGCTGGGGCACTTCAATACGACGAATCCTCCAGGTCCATTCTCACCCCTTCGGGGAAACAACAGCACCAAATCAATCTGGGAAAGCTGCAGAGCCACCCCCCAAAGCCCTGCTCGCACTGCACCGACCCCACGTTGGCTCCTGCAGCCACAGCCCCTCACCTGACAGCAGCCCAGCGGGGCACCAGCAGATGCTCAGAGCATCCAGGAAGGAACCTGGCCCACTATGGGCACAAACGCAATCTGCCCAGCAGTTTCCCCACAGCAGCAGTGCTGGGGCTGCCTCCAGACCTCCGGCTTGGCCGACGCTGGCACTGCTTTGCTGGGAGGCTGCAGAGACACAGCACTGCAGAATTGGTTGCAAACAAGTGGGAAGCACCCAGGGAGGCCCCACGGTCAGGCCGAGCTCAGCGCACCGCCGCGTCTCTGCAGCCTTCCTCCACCATCTGAGCGCCTCAGAGACGAGAGCTGCGCTCGCACACGCAGCCCAAACACAGATTTCCCTTCCCTGCTCAGGAACATGCACTATTTTTGCTGCATACATTTGTTAACAGATTATTTTTTTTTTTTTTTCTAGGCCCCGAAGTCCCCAGCTCTTAAATAGACTGAGGCAGCTATAACGTCTCCGAGTTAAAATGTCAATTACTTTAACCAGATTATTAGGAAAAACAAAGTCAGCGCGCGAAGCGGCACAGCTGGGCCCCAGGCAGCAGCACAGGCAGTAACAAGGATCCTCGTGTGATGAGACCAGCCCTGCTGAGATCCATCAGCAGCTGTGTGGAACCAGCCCTGTGGAAAGGGAGAGGCCGGGACCCCCCTGGTGCTCTGGAAGCTGTTCCACCCCAGCGCAGCTCAATGCACCGCCAGGAACGTCCCTCGGTGCCTGCAGGCTTTAGAGTCAGTAAGCAAGTGGCTTACGAGAAGCAAAAGGCATCCGAGAGGCTCACAGAAAGACGTGGGCAGCTGCTCCCTGCCCCTCCGAAACGGCAGCTGGCCCTGTTTGGGAATTGGCTGCTACACAAACAGGATGCAGAAGGGGTTGGGGTTTGGGCTGTTACTGTCGGCACCTCCGCTCCCCAGAGCGGGGCTGGGAAACGCCCGAGCAGCACAGAGCGTTTCCTTAACAAAAGGGAGAAGAACAAGGGAAGCAAGGTTTGGTTCCACAAATAGATCAGCTTCCTGCAAACGGTGCCAGGAAGACAGCAGGTTTCTCATTTCAGTGGCTCTCTGCCCTATGCTTAAGCAAGGCACGTGTCAGATACCAGCTAAAAATAAATAAATAAACAATAGAACCTGCCTCTTACCTGACGTACTTGGAGAGTGGAGGCTTCAGGCTGTGCGTGGTCGACATCCCTGAGGAAATGTACCTGTCTCTTCTCCTCTCGATCCGCCGCACGTTCACAAAGTCCCTGAGCAAAGAAAGGGCAACGGCAGCTTTGAGATGTGCGTGAGACTTGGAAGGAGCAGATCACGTGCCTGGGGCTGCTGGGAAAGGCTGTGGCAGGACTATGTCAACATATGGCCAAAACACAGGCAGCACGGTTAGCAGGGAGACAGAGGGAGCGACCGGGACAGATCCTGAGCTCTGAGACTCCTGCCAGAGCGTCTGTAAGGGACTCGAGGGACTCCCTGCCTTAGGGACATCACCCAGCCCTGCTGGCTCTCACTGAGCTCAGGAGCTTCTCTCTGTGTTTTACAGGTGTTCAGAGGCTCAGTACGAAGTGGTGAAAGAAACTGACCTGGGGGAAACGACGCCGCCTGCAGCCCCGGCTGCTACGTCGTACGAAACGATCGTGTTGTCCTCAACCCGCTGCAGGATCTGGGAGAAAGGAAAGGAAACTCTTCAGCCTGCGCCTACAGCTGCCAACAGCTGGGCACTGCAGCCCCAGCAGCTGATCTGGGGGCAGGAGATGAGCTGTGGCAGCGCACACAGGTTTGTCTGCCGGCCCAGGGCTGCCCCTCCTTCCTGGGGGGAGCACAGGCGTCCCCGTCGGATCCCCGCCACGCCGGCAGCGCCAAACGGCGCCGAGCAGAAGCAGGCTTGGCTCAGGCACTGGGCCCAGCTCCCTGCCCACCTCGTGGGCTTTTGGATGGGCACAGCCACGCAGCTGGCCGCCGCAGAGCATTCGGATCGTACGGCTGAGCGGCGGAGATTTAACGCCTCGGTGATTCTGATCCAGCTCAGCTCCAGTAGGGCCTGGGCACCGCTGACAGCCGGCGCTGGGCTGGGAAGCTGCAGCTCTCCGCTTCAAGGAGCTCCTGTGATTAAGCCATCTTTGTCCGGCACGCTCACCTGGCAAGCTGCCACCGTTCTGTTCCACAGGATCATCTTCTCGGGCTGCAGAATAACCTCCTGGTAAACCGTTTCAGCAGAGCACTGCAGGAAAGCCTGAGGACAGACAGAGCAGTCAGCCGGACCCTCGCTCCGCTTTGGGGGTGATTCTTTTTTCTAAGGAGCGCAGAGCAGATCAGAAAGAACAACTGGGAGGAAGCAGGAGGACAGCGGTGAGGCCGCACAGCCAACGTTGCTTCCTGCTGCCAAAGAGAAGGGCAGGCATGGGGATCAGAACTGGGATCAGCAGTCACTGAGCTGCTGCCTGCTGGGAGGGGGGACAAGCATCCACCTGCACCACGGCCACACAGAGCGATCTCAGGCCCCTCTGCCCTCATCCTGCCTTCTCAGCAACTCTGCTGCACGTGCAATTGCTTTGGAAAGTCACCAGAAAGATTCCCACAACTCCAGCACAGCTAACATTCATTTCTCCACGTCCCCATGGGACTGGGGACCTTCGGAAGCAAACGGTTAACGCAGCAGAGCGGGACCATCCTCACCAACACAGAACTGCTCCTCCAGCAGCTCTGCCAGCGAGGCAGCATATGCACTGGAACAAAGAAAAGCCACCGCAGCACCGATGCTTCATTAAAGCATGGTTTGCAGCCAAGCTGCTCCAGCGAGGGCGCCGCGCTTCCGAGCAGCTCTCCTCAATGCCAGGCAGCAGCAGACGCACGCTCAGCCCTGGTCTTGCTGGCAATTAGTTGCAATTAGCCTCCTTGGTCAGATTAGTCCTAGATGCTGGGGTTGGAAGCGAGTCTTGCAGTCACCTGCTCCCACTTCCACCAGCAAAGACTGGGGCCCAGCATATTTGCCGGGGAGTTTGTCTGCCAGCCAAGGGGTTTTCCTGGAGAGATTCCCTACAGCGTGCAGAGCAGTTCATCTGTCTCAAGCAAAGAGTGCTCTGCAGGCTGACCTGTGCTGCCAGGGCCAGGACAGAGCGTGAAAGCCGAGCCGCGGCTCCAAGCACAGCAGCGATTTCTCTATGTATCACACAGGCTGAGGAAGCAAAACAGGAAGGCTCTTACCTTTAAAATAAAGGTCTTGCCATGGAAAGGTATTTCAAAAGTGTAAACAACATCACCGAAGTCCTGCGCAAGAAACAAGACAGTTTCATTTATGCTGGCAAAGTAGAAGAACTGCTTCTACCTAAGGTGAAGCCTGATGGTCTCTGGGCCCCGCAGGAGCTCGCCTGCTCCAGGACCATTTCCTAGGGCCATTCTTGGCCCCAAACTGCTCCTGCTCCCCCACGCCAGGCAGCCCCAGCACAGAACGGCACTGAGCCCATTTCAGATGCCCATGCACAAATTTCCATAAACAAAACAACATCCAGAGAAGCAGCAGTGATGAGACAGGAAAAGAATCCAACCCGTGCCAGCCTGCAAACTCAGTTTCAAGGTCAAATTCTCTTTGCAGCAAGCTACCAACACCACTGTATGAGAGAGGGGTTAGTTTGCCAGCACTGCTGTTGTTACCTACATCTGAGAAGAGACTCCCTGGAGGGGTTAGGGATGGACAGATGATAACCTTTCATCATTAGCCCTGTGTTAAACTCTGATTAGTCTATTTAAATCCATCCCCCTTTGGATAAAGAAAACAATCTGCCCAGCTAGTTTGGCATCAAACAATGGATCACTTGACAGGGGAATTTTAAACACCAGATGAGAGTGCAGTTTGCAGGACTCTCACCTCAACTGCATTGCAAGCCCACAAGTAGAAAACAAGGTTGATTTCGGGGGGGACAAAGGCACTTTCACACCACTCTACAGAGACAGAAAGGAGCCTTAGCTAGCCCAGAAAACCCTGCTGTAGCTTGAGGAAAAACGCATGTCAGAGCTGCTGATGCACATCCCTCCGTCCACAACGCCCCTGTCCTGAGGAGGGGGATTGCACACAGCTCTGGGCTGTGCCCCACATGCTCCTGCTCCATGACTGGCTGCAGCCCAAGCAGCCAGAGCCACCCCAGACCTGCTGTGCTCCTAAAAGCACGATGCTCTGCAGCCCTCACCCCCCCAGAGGTGAGCTGTCCCCCCCCCGGCCCGCCGGCCATGGGGAGGGAGGGGCCGTGGGCTCTCTCCCATCAAACGGGAAGGCAATTAAACGTCTAATTAAATAAGGGGGGATTTTACATTTAACTGAGCTGGAATGGGTTCCTAATTCAATCAGGTAATTGTAACGCTTGTTAATTTTTCATGTTGCAAGGAGGTTTCAAAAGCCTCGTTTGCCCTCCAGTTTTTGCTAAGCCATCCGTGCTCTTTGCCAGCGCTGCCCAGCACTGGGCTGTGGGGGACACTTGCATTGTTTTTCTCAAACTTCCAGTTCTCCTCCTGGGCGAGGATTTGGTCCACAACTTCCATAGCTTCTTTGCCCTGTCGGACGTATTCTTTCTCCTAGGAGAGAAGGGAACATTTCACTAGAAGGGTTTGCAGAAAGCCCCACGTCTGTGTGTGCAAGGTTTGCTGCCCTGCTCCCAGGGCTGGCAGAGGGAAGTGGGCTGCCTCCCATCACCACACAGCACCAATCTCTTAAATTCAGGGCACAGAGGCCTCATTTTGGAGCCTGAAGCCACGCTTCCTGCCCTGGCTTGCATCCACACACCAGCTGCGCCCACCAGCAACTCTCTTGCCTTAGTGCAAGGGTTTCCAGCAGGCAAAGGGCTGCGAGGTGCACAGAGCTTCCTTCTGTGAAAGTGCCAAAACCGGAGCTGAACAGCAGCAGAACCACTTGGAAAGCAGCACAGAGAAGCCTGTGCCCAGCCAGACTTCAGGGAGGTGAAGCACCGCCCCGCTCGCTAGAATTCAGCGAGGATGGTGAAGGCTGAGCCCTTGTGGCACGTGATACAGGATCAGGGAAGGGGGGAGAGGCAGAGCCGGAGCCACGTCCCTGGGGGAAGCTGCAGGGGAAAGCTGGCTGATGCTGTGTTACTGAGAATCCCTCGTGCTGCAGCTGCGATGCCAGCGCTCCCAGGGCAGGCAGGGCACTTCAGCAAACATCCCCAGGCAAAGGGCCTCGACACGAGGGACAGGACTGCCTGTCTCTGTTTACCTGAGCTGTCAACGCCTTCCTTCCCGGACCTTCCTCATCCGACTCGTTGTCCGACCCTTGGGTGCAACACACAATTAAAGCACAGGTAACAAAGAGCCCATTTGTACACCTCCCCCTGACCTTGCAACGGATCCAACGCTGCTAGCAGGGGGTGTGAGCCCAGCACAGCCCAGATCCTGTCTCCCCCAGCACAGAGATTGCTGCCAGGTGCTGCTCTGCTCCCAGCCAGGCTGTGGGCACTGAGCGTTGCCCCGGGTGTCAGCAACACTGGGACAACTGCTCTGGCTGATGCCTGCTGGCTGCTGAGCAGGGATGGTGCCACAGCCAGCACAAGGCAGCAGCACTCTGCCAGCTCCGACCCTCACCTGCTCTCAGCAATTCACCCCCATGCCTTCGTAGTGAGGGCAGCGTTTAACCACAAGCACTTTAATTGCAGCTTAAGAGCATTTAACCCCAAGACCACAAAATGCTCTCGTTTCCCACCGAGCCAAAGCCAGGCTGAGCATGATCCTGCTCCTCCACGGCACCACGGCAGCGGGGCAGCAGCGTGGGGCAAGGAGAGGTTCTGCAACACCCGTTTTTGGAGGCCTTGCTGCCTCTGCCAAGAGCTGGGCTAACAAGACACGGCTCAGACAGAGGGCAGTAACAGGGGCAAGGAGCTCCCAGAGGAACGTGGGATGGGAGCAGAGGATGTTACCTGCAAAGGACTCCGGTGGGGAGTAGAACTGCCCATCAGAAAGGGCTCCAGGGTACAGCAGGGGCCCCCGGGCAGCTGCAGCCTGGGCTGCCAGGTACCCTGCAAAGCAGAGCAGGTTTCACATGCAAAGTCCTAAACAAGGGGGCTGAGGCCCCGTCCTCCCGTCCAGCCCTCCCCTCTCCAGCCTCCCAGCCACTTTCTGCCAGACACAGCTGCTCTGCCCGCACTGACACCAGCCAGCCCACAAGCTTTTCAGCTCCTATTGCCTCATCTTTTGTTGGAGACATTTTATCTGCACGGAGATCAATGGGCTCTTTTGCCTGTCAAATCCAAAGGCGATTAAGCATCTAATTAAATAAGAGCTTCCCCTGGAAGCAATTTGGAACCCGAGCCTAATCCAATAGAGGCATTAAACACTTGATCATTTTTCATCTTAAAGCCTTCTTGCAAGACCCAAACATCCTCTGGTGCTTTCCAGTCATTCAGTGCATTTCTGATCCGGCCTCACTTGACAAATACTTCTCAGTTTATGTGCCATTTCCCAGCTCTCTTTCGTCAGAGAAGCCTGGGAGAACGACTCAGCCCTCGTGCTGTAACAGCACTGCTTTACATTACAGCTGCATGACGCAGAGCGAGCAGCCAGTCCCTAGAAGGACCCTTGGAAGGGACAGGTGCCCTGCCACACGCAGTCATTCATGAAGCATTAGGTCACAGAGATTCAGTCCCAGTTTAATCTGACCTCGCTGACTAGAGACTGTGAAATCTCACACGCAGCAACCCGCGCTGCACCCCCGTAGCAGATCTTTGCATCATTCCTCTCCAAAGGTCTCCAGCCCAGATCTGAAGACGGATCTCACAATCTGGAGAGTCCCACCACCCGCCTGGCATTTGCCCCACTGTTCCAAAACATTTTCACTGATGTGGAGGTGAGCTCTGTTTCCAACACGTCTGGCTTCGGTATCCAGACACTGAAGAATTTGGCACGTTTTTCTCTTCTCAATTAAAAGATGCTTTTCATAATCTGGTATATTCTTCCCTTGAAGGGACTCATAGACCGTAACAGAATTGAATCAGCCACTTCCCGTCGCAGCCAGCCTGGAGATCACTTCTCCATAAATGTCATCTCTGCCAAGGTGCTGCCAAAGCAGCAGAAAGGCCAGGCCTGGTGGCAGAATACTTACATCGTTCCTCTTCTGCTTCCTGAGTGAGGACTTTAAAATCCAGGAACCAAGTCTCTAACCAAGCAATGACAAACGAGACGATGGGAAGCAAGTAACCGAACGCCCCTTTGGTGAGAAGCTGTGTGGGGAAAAAGCAAAAGTCACAGGGAGTTCACAGAGAATGGCAAACAGCAGCAAGCAGCAATCACAAAGCAATCCCCTGTGAGCCCATGGGAACCAACCTCGGAGAGGATGACCTTCACAATCAGGAAGGCACTGGATATCAACGTGGTGACCTGGAAAATAAAATCACGTATCTCAGATCTCGGCAAACTCCAGGCAGAGGCTCAAAGTGAAAACAGGAAAACGAAAACGGCCCTTCTTACCGCTATGACCCACCAGTGGCGCAGCCTCACAACCGCGTAGGCCAGCAGCAACACAAAAAATCGGAAGAAAGCCAAGACCTTTCAAAACAAAAAGCCATTGATATGGATGGTGTCCTTGTCCCCCTGCCAGGTGCTGGGAGGACGCAGCCCCCCCCCCCCCCTTGACCTCATCACCTACAGAGCCAGGAGGGGTCAGCAGTGCAGCAGGGGGGGCTGCGAGCTGCCCGAGTGCTGGGCCAGGAGCAGCAGGGATGTGGGAGACCCCCAGCTGCCCTCCCCAGCAGCCCCACAGCCAGGCTGAGCTCCAAGCTATTGCTCTATTGCCCCACTGGCAGCAGGCTGGGATACTCACAAATATGTCAAAGAAAGAGGTCTTGAAATTGTAATCGAAGATTTCATTCTTCAAGTTCTTCTGAATGCCATCCTTGGTCTGAAGAGGAGACAGGAAATGAGAAAGCCATTGAGTGCACTGATAAGAAACTAATGACAGAAAGAACCCGGCCAAGCGGCGTCCAGAGGCTGCTGCTGGGTCAGGTTATGCATTAAGCATACAAATGCACACTGCAGGATCCTCTGCTGGCGCAGGACCACGGGAAGATGCAGCAGCACATTTCTGCTTCACACTGAAGGCAGCCGGGGCTGCAGCAGCACACCAGTACACTAAGCACTTCTGCATGGGGCTTCCTCACATGGAAAAGCTGCTGTTTGGCTCAGCGTATCCCATGGCAGCACATCACCACCCTAAAGCCCTCTGTCTCCTGCAGCCTACAGGACAGCACCTCCCCCTTTGTGCCCATCCCTTCATCAGGAGATTCCAGGGACAGACTTCAGCTGCACAGGAGGAAACACGGGGCAGGTGAAAAGCCCCAGGAAGCCCTTCTGGACACCCAAAAGATCTGTCTTGGTGCATGGCAGGAGAGGGGTCCGAAGGCCAGAAACACATAGAGACACAAGGAAAGCCTGAAGAGGCAAAAGCAGGGTTCTGCAGGATTGTAAGAGGGCGTGGAAAAATCTTAAAGAGCTCTCTTATCTCACCCCTAAAAAACGTGGGGCTTGACAGCCTCGACGCTTTTGACACCATAAATCCTGTTCTCAGGAGCTTGGAATCGCTGTTTATGAGGAAGTGGATGGCTCAGGTAACTGGAACAAATGCTTCACCTTTAGGCTATTGGTTTGAACACAGCCCAGCTGGCCTGGAAGCTGGTATATGCTGACAGCTGTTTGATGATCTGTGAGAAACAAGTTGGTGGATCTCAGGCCAGTTCTTGGCAGGCTGGTGCCCTGGCACCCTCTCGTCAGCCAGTCCAAGGACAGACGAGGCAGCCATTGGGAAGTGGGCCCTCTAGGTCAGGGCTGCTGCTTAACAGTCAGGGAGGGGAGGGGGTGAGCAGTTGTGCACTGCTGCCTTAGATTTGAGGCTGCAGGGCTCGCACCAGCTTCAACGAGCAGCCACCAAGCAAATCCTGAACTGAAAGGGACCCACAGAGCCTCTTCCAACAGCACTGCTCTGCTAGGAGACGTTAGAGGGGGAACTGAACTCAGTGAGGCTTTGAATTACAGTTTTTGGGAGGTGTTTCAGTTTAAATATGAGAAGAGCTGACTGAGGCACCTCTTTGTCTCTGAGAGCAGCAAGCTTGCAGAATGACAGTTTGCAGGAGACAGACATTTAACGAGGGCCAATTTGCTCAGCTTATCTCGCAGCAAAGGAAACCATTTGATAAAAAAAGCATTAGTCACGATATAAACTCATTGCTCTTCATAACTAGGCAAATAAGTCGTCCTAATAGCCTTAAATATGCAGCATCTCGGCTCGGGGCCTAAATATCACCAGTTAGTCACTCATTAATGGCTACCTGCACGACCTACGCTCAGAATTACCCTGACGACCGCGCTGCCAGAGCATTTCCCCAGGGCTGCAGGTTGGGATTTGCAGAAAAGCTCTCTCTGGAGAGAACCAAGGAGGGAGCAGGAGGCTGGGGTCCAGGGCACCATCGGCATCACAGGAATGCTGCCCCAGAGCTGCCGTGCTGCCACGAGGCTGTGGGGGTCACTGCAGCCTCTTGGCAGAGCGGGGTGACGGAGCTGCTGGCCGAGGCAATCCGTTACGTGCAGACACTGCGGGAGATAAGCTGGGCAGAGATAAGAGCTGCTAAGTGAGCGCAGGATCCAGCGCTGATAAACAAAGGCCAGACACCGGAGGGCGGCCTGCAGAAGCAGCGGGGTCTATCTGATCATCTTGCCTTTCCAATCAGGCTGTTCTGTGCCAGGACATGGAGTACCTGTAACCTGAAACCCATTCCCCACGCGGCCAAACGAGTCGGGACCGGTGGAGGGGGAAAAAAATAAATAAACGAAGCCCAGGGAACAACTTTGACCTGACGAGATTGAAGTAAATAAACGAGGTTTCCTCATTGGTTGCAGCAGTTGACAGAAAGCAAACGCAGCGCCCTGTGCTGGCACGAAGCCTCTGCAGAGGGGACCGAAACCGCCGGCTCCTTTGTGGCAGAGCTGCACCTCGGTTCACAGGAGCAGAGATTAGCAGCAGCGCTCCGGGTCCAAAGCTCAAAGCCCTTTTTGTCTGTGCCCTGTGCCAGCTGGGCGGCGCGAGGAAGGTCTGCGCTCCCCTCCTCGCCCTCCGAGGCTTCCAGAACAGGGCACTCAGCAAAGCTGGCAGCTGCTTGGCACAGGCAGAGAGCAGCTTCTCTTGAAGAGGGCAGGAGAGAAATTTGGCCGACGGCTCCCCCTCCCAATCCCACAGCCACAGATCTCATTACACCACAACACCCAGCACTGCATGCGTGGCGTTAATGACCCCGGGCAGCCGCAGCGGGGCCGCTCACAGGAAATGAACTGGACTTCAGCTAGCACTGACTGCACACTGATTGCTCAGCCACTGCAAATCAGAGGACGCTGGGAAGAGCAAACAAAGACTTGGCCTGAGACTTCTGAAACGCAGCAATTAGCGCAGAGGAAGCCGAGTTTACAAAAGCACGACTTGAGAAGGGAAAGACTCCACACCTTTGTTTTTCCCAACTTACATTCAGTTCGATTATCCACAACAAAGAGATGAAGAGCAGATCGAAGGTGACAAAGAGACAGAAGGTCCTCCTCACATCTGAGATGGCTTTCCTCTTCTCTGGAGAGAAGTAGCAGTACGGGGAGAAGCCCTGGCTCTGGGAAAGCGAGGTGCTGATGGACGCGATGGCTGGGAGGCTCCGTTCCAGGTCGTGCTGCAGGTCTGTCGGCTTGCTCATCCTTGGCCCAAGCAACTTGGGGCCTACGTCAGTCAGGGCCACATCTGCAGAGCCACAACATCACCTATGGAGAGACAACACGGGAAGCCTGGGGGAGCAATGCCACAGCCTTACGCCTGGAGGTGTCACCCTCCTGTTCTCAGCAGTGCTGTCAGCTGCAGGCAGGCAAGCACAGAAAGGAAACGTGCACATGATGCCTTTCCTCCAGGCACACAACCCTGTTAGCAGCTCAGCTGGATGCTGTCTGTTTTACACCGTTCCTACTGGAAAAGGCTAACACCATGCCATGGTCTCACAGTTTTCCACTGCTATCCCACATCATGTCACAGAAACCAGGCTGACGTGCAGCCTTTTAGGTCAGCACAAAGCACATCAGAGCTCACCCAGGGCTTGCACCCCGCCCCCTGCACCAGCACAGGGACCCCCATCCCTTCTGCCCACTTCAGGGAGACAGAAACCAGCCACCAACAGCCCCACGGCTCAGCTTTATGGCAGGGATCAGCCACCATCGGCGCTGGTCCTGGCAGTGCTGGGTGCGTGGCCACCACGTGAGCGGGTCGGGGTGCCGAGGCTGACGCCTGTTTTCAGGCAGCCGTGCCAGCCATTGTGTGAAAACGTTTCCCTTCCGTCAGCAGAGCACAAGGAGGCTGCTGTGCGAACGAAGCTGAGCGCACGCCTGAGACAAACAGGGAGAAAGGTGCCAAAGCAGGGGGCCGCCGTCCCCAGATTTTCACCCCACTGTGATCCACAGCTACTGCACCAGGACAAACTCACGCTCTCCAAAATACTCACGTTCAGAGATTTTTGGTCTCCAAACAACTGCATTTTACTGGATTAGCTGCTGCCCCAGCACCTCTGCTTCCTCTGGAACCCAGAGTCAGACCCGTTTTATTACAGCAAGTCTCATTCAAAACCAGGAGGCTGCAGTCAGAGCTGCCCGAGGGAAAAAGCCCCAGGAGCGTGCCCAGAACCACAGGAAGGGGCAGCCACCACACGCTGGGACAACGACAGGAGCTGCCCCACACTGCTGAAACCACAACCCTGGGAGTGAAAGCAGCTCCTGAGCTGCAGCCCTTGGGGAGGGAGAGAAGGAAGGAGGGAGGGAGCCGGGGCTATCAGGTCCCCACCAGCCGCTCCCTGCGGCCCTGCAGAAGGAGCCGAGGATTTGTCACTTCAGATCAACCACGGCCAGCGCGGCCCTTCGCTGCCACGAGCCAGGGGCCCATCTCAAACTGAGAAAAGTTCCAGACATCTGTGAGTGCTAAATAATAGATCGCCTGCCTGCCGCCTTCTCTGTGGCAGAGCGTCACCGCTCTCCACTCAAACAGCACTTTGCACTTAAGCAGCCCCGGCAACTTCAGAGCGCTTTAGGCTCAGCCTGGGAGATGCTCAGCCCCGCTCCCCACGGTGGCAGGGACATCCCTGGCTCTCCTTGGCCTAAAGCCATCGCTTATTCAGCCCCAGCCTTCCAGGTGAGAGCTGACGCCTGTCCTGAAGCCAGCACAGAGATCTGGGCAGGAAGCGGTGAGAAGGGTTTTACCTTCAGAGTAAAACAGAGGCGCTGCGGTACAGAAACACTGAAAACACCAGAATATTTCCTGCTCAGATGGGGTTGTTCCACCACAGGGCAGGAAGGACAGTGAGCAGAGGCTGCTCTGAGCGTGCTAAATGTGCCTCTTCCCAGGTGTCAGATGAATTAGTGAGCGTTCAGTGCCACGATGCACAGCAGCAACACTGCACTGGGGACCTGCTGGGGTTCCAAAAGCTCTGGAGACACAGTCATGTTCCTTTCCTGGAGAAAAAGCCAAAAGCAACATGGGACCTATCCCTGGAAAGGCTGCAGCAGCCCCCTCACAGCCCGCAGCCTCTCCCTCTTCCATTCCTGCCTTTTAGATTCAAATCACAAGCTTCTCATTAGCACACGTTTGCATGCTAATGACATGTCTTACAGTAAGAAGCCTTTCCATCTTGTGACACCGCTTCTCCTTTCCTCCCGCGCCCCCAACTTCCTATTAATGTGCCTTTCTCAGCTCACATGACGACTTCAACAGCTAATTCTCATGTCACCTCTTTTGATAGTGACAGCCTTTGCACCAAACTCTGCACTGAAGATGAGATACCTGGAAAGTGCAGGAGGGCTGCTTTAAAGCCACCAGCTGCAGGTGTTTCACCAGCTGCTGACACGTGTCTGAGTGCCCAAAGGGAAGAGATGCACTGACAACAAGTGCCCTTCTGTGAGCTGCCCACACTCCCTGTGCCGTGCTGTCCCTCACCCTGTCAGCCCCACGCCATCCCCTGCTGCCCCAGCTCAGCTGCTCTGTTTGTGAACAGGGCTCTCAAAGCACTGTAAGACCTTGCAGGGTCTGCATCCCCCTGCCAGCTGCACCGGCCCCAGGGCCTCCCCTCCTCTGCACACACAAGCTCAGTGCAGCCTGCATAAGGAATATCAGGGAGAGCTCCGGTCCTCAAGAGCAGCTCAAGATCCCACCCCCAAGCTGGCAGCTTTCCTCACGCAGAGCCTGGAGGCCGGCGTGATCGCTGTGCAATTAGCCTCTGGTTTCAGTAAGGCCCATCAGAGGCTCAGGATCACAGTGCAGAAATGAGAAAGGCCACAGGTTTCGCACAAAGAGCAGAAATAAAACTTCTCCATGGGTCCAGTGAGTGACCTCAGAAGCTGCCGGGTGGCAGCACGTGACAAGGGGCAGCAGCTGCTGCCCAGCCCAGGCACCACAGGACACGGCGCCGGGCAGTTACCGGTACCACAGCTGCTTCCTGAGGGGCAGCACGGGCAGATTGCGGCCCCGCAGCCCCGAGCTCTCAAATCACCGCTTTGTGAGCAAAGCTCCCCCAATCCCGGCCCGGCGCTACGGGGATCCCGTGGGACAGGAGCTGAGCTCCCACCGCACCGCCACGGCCAGCCCGCAGCCGGTACCGGGGCCTGGGGCGGCCCCGGGATGTCGGTGAAGGCCTCGGGGGGCCCGGCAGCAAAACGCCGTGGGGCAGCAGCACCCACCGGGACGGCCCCGCTGCCGCCTCGGGAGGCGGCGCTGCGCAGCACCGCGGAGGCAAGGCACGGCCAGGCGGCCCCGGAGACCCAGGAACGGGAGCCCAGCAGCCGCCCCGCAGCGAAGGCCCCGGCGCTCTACTCCGGCCCCGAATCCGCTCCACAGGACGGCTCCGCTCCGCCGAGCTCCTGGTACCAACCTCGCCCCGGACCGCCCGGTACCTGCCGATAGCCGACAGCCGACAGCCGCCACCGCTTCCAGGCCTCGCCGGAAGTACTCCCCCAGCGCAAGCCACTTCCGGCCCCGCCACCACCTCTGACCCCGGAAGTAAAACTCCGAGCTGCGCCGGCGCCGGTCATGGCGGACTGCGGGGGCGTGGGGAGCGGAGCGGAGTCGAGCCGGCAGGAGAAGCGGCACAGGGAGCGGCTCCGCGGGGCTGAGCGGCTCCATCCCGCTGTGTGCGCGGGGAGCGCGCAGAGCCCATCGCGGCGCTGCCTCACGGTTCCCGCCCTCAGCCGCCCCTCAGCTCCCCGCTGCCCCCCGAGCACGGGCACGCCGCTCTGTACAGCCGTTTATTGGGGCGCAACTCGGGCGTTGCTGCATGCAGGGGGCACGGGGCGGGCCCCGGCCTTGGGACCCCAGCCTCACCGCCGGCCCCCACGGTGTGGAAGCGGTGTGGGGCCGCGGTCCCGCCAACCGGGCCGGGAACCATGCGGGGGCACGCGCGAAGCGCAGGCTCCGAGCGGGGCCGGGGGCGGCGAGCGAAGCTGCGGTGATGCGGGGCAGGCCGTGGGGGTCCCGGCCGGGCCGCGGTCTGGCTAGCTGGTGCCCAGCGGGACTGGGGAACGGCGGCGCTCCGTGCCTGCCAGGCCCACGTGCCGCCGCTCCTCGCTGTGCTCTGCGGTGACGACGGGGTCAGGCGGGGGTCCCGCTGCCATCTAAGGGAGCAGGGATCCCCCGCACCCCGTACCGCTGCCGTCCTCCGGCTCCTCCTCGTCGCCTTCGCCCCCCTCGGGGTCCTCGGGGTCTTCGGGGATGTCGGACACAGTCAGTGCCTTCAGGTCCTCGCTGCGCTCAGCGATGCCTCCCGCAAAGGACACCTTCTGCCCCCCTGGAGGATGAGGGAGAGACAGTGGCCAACCATGGGATGGGGCAGCCACTGTGCTGCCTGCATCAGGGTCATGGGAATGGCAGCAGTCCTGAATCCCCACAGTGTCCCCATCCCCATGGTGGCCCCATCCCTGTCTCTGTTCCCACACAGTCTCCATCTCCAGTGTCATTCTCCCCACAGGGTTCCTGAGGTGGCCCCATCCATCACCTCGTCCTCAGAGGGATCCCATCACCACAATGTCCCCAACCTTGCAATTTCCCTGGCCCCATCCCAGCAGTATCCCCATCCTCAGAGTCCCCATCCATGCAGTGTAACAAACAGAGTGGAACCATCCCTGGCCCACTCCCACTGCAGTCTCTACAGTATTCCCAACCCCTCTGTTCCCCTCCCTGTGCTGTCCCCATTACCTTTCCTCTTGTGTGCCTTGGTGGCAGGGAAGACGCTTCGCTCAGCTCTGGCCTGGCTCCCCAGGGCTTCTTAGAAGGGCAGAGATGAGCCGAGGCAGAGGAGGCATGCCTCCCCCCCCCCCAGAGACAACACGGCCAGAGGAACTGGCTGGCATCAGCATGGCTCCAGGACATGGCAGGGGACACTGCAGCCCTGTCCCCCCAGGGCAGCTGCCAGCACTCAGTCCCACGTCCTGACGTCCCCCAGGCTGCTGCAGGCTTTGTCCCCATGTCACCATCCTTCTTACCAGGCTCGAGGGCGCTGTCTGGGTCGCAGGTGCGAGTCAGCTCTGGGTCCCCGTCATCGGGCTCTCCATCAGAGCTGTCCCCTCCAGCCAGGCCGCTCTCCAGGTGGGACTGCACGATGCGCTGCACCGCTGTGGGGCACTGGCATCAGCCCCCGCTCTGGCACCGGGAGCACTGGGAAGCACTGGGAAGCACTGGGAGAGGCGCGGGGGTGTGGCGTGCCCAGGTCCCCCAGCCCACTGCTCTGCACCCGCCTCACATGCCCTCCTTCCTTCCGTTTCCCCATCCAGATAACAGCAGCTGGGGGCTCAGCCAGCTCTGGGAGCTGCCCAAAAAGTCCCCTGGGGAGGACCTGGCTTTTGGGGACGGTACCTTTGAGCGAGGGTGGTGTGTAGGCACACGGGTTGGTCCTCTTTGGTTTCAGCAGGCAGCCCTCGCCGGAGGCTCGCTGCAGGACAGAGCAACCAGACAGCATTGGGGACAGGGACACGGCCACTCCCTCATCGGGGACACCCGTGACCCCACAAGGACGAGGTGTCACGATGGGGATCTTACTGTGGGGATCTAGGGAGGAGCCCCCCGGGACTGTGGCACTTTGGTGAGGGTCCCACAATGGGGACTGTGGGATGAGACCCCTGAGATTGGGACCCTTTAAGGATACCCTGCAGCGGGGACCTGATGTTGAGCCCCCATAGGGAGACCTCTGTAACGGAGACCCCCAATGTAGCATCCCTGTGATGGGAACACTGCACTGGAGACCGGGGGGTCAGTGGTGAGGACCTGAGCTCCACAGCCTGACCCCAGTCCCCGTTCTCATGTCCCCGTCCCTGCGGCGCCGTGTGTTCGTCCCCAGGGCCAGCAGAAGGCAGGGAAGCGATAAGCACTGGGACGGGGCAGGGCTGCAGCACCACGATAACGCTGTGGTGACTGTGCTATGGGGGGGGGGGGCGGTGCCGGGGGGGCTCAGGGGTGGGCTGGGGGCTGTTGTAGGGACAGAGGTGCACGGAACCCACTCACCTGGTAGGGCAGGGACTCGTCCTCTACATCCGCAGCGCCAGGAGAGAATGGGTGGGTAGGACGGGTGCTGGAGCTGCAGCCCCTGCCCTGTCCCTGTCCCCCCATCCCGTGTGTGACCCCCAGCCGTCCCCCTCCCCCCCATCACCGTGTCTCATCCCTGACATCCCATAGCAGATGTGGCACCACATCCCATCCTTGCCGCTGAGGTCCCATCCCTGCCATCGTGTCCCATTTCTGCCACAACATCCCATTCACAGACACCCGTCCCACCTCCACCCCCACGTCCCATTCCTGCCACCCCACCTGTGGCACCCTGTCACATTCCAGCTGCTTTGTCCCATCCCAGCTCACACCTCCCATCCCTGGAGCAGCTGCCTCTACCCTCAGGGCCACCCGATGTCCCCTCCCGTCCCCAACCTGGTACCAGTCCGTGTCCTGGCTCACCTGGGGATGAGTGCTCGGAGAGCTGGAACAGCATGGCAGGCGTGGGCCTCCGCCGGCGGATCTGAGGCACAGCAATGTCACTCAGTCCCCTGTCCCCAACCCAGTGCCCCAGGCCTGAACCCCATCGTGTCCCCATCCCATGGGGTGCTCAGTAGGACAGGGCTGGGGACAGGTGCAGTGCCCCATGGAGGGGCCGTGTCCCCATCTCAGGGTCCCCGTGCTGTCCTCTACCTCTCCCAGCCCCTCCCAGCCCCCAGCCCCACACAGCCGTGGGTCCAGGGTGCACAGGAGCCAAGTCCTGGGGGTGTTCCCTCAGCTGGGCACAGCCTGCACACTCCCTTGTCTTGTCCCATCCTGTTCTTGTCCATTCCTGCCTGCTCTGTCCCAGCCGTTCCCTTTTGTCCCACTCCTGTCCTGCCCTCTCCCCACACGTAACTCCTGCACAAATCCGCTGCTGGCACAGGACCTCGGAGCACTTTGTCCTGTCCCTGTGTCTCCCTGTCCCATCCCCTACCCTGTCCCTTCCTCTCTGTACCCCCATCCCCTCCCTCTGGTCTCCTCCATCCCTCATTCTATCCCCCCAGTCCTCCTCGTCCCTCTCTCCCTGTCCCATCCCTTCCCTCCCGTCCCACGCTGTCCCCGTCCTGTCCCCTGCACAGCTCTCCTCCACCTCGAGGCACCCATGGGACACCACTGGCACTCTCACCACCCGCACCCCACGATCCCTCACTACCCGGGGTCAGCAGGAACACGGTGCCGTGCTGGGGACCCCTCTGTGACCCCGCTGTCACCCTGCGCTCACCATCTCCACGGCGCGGGGGTCCAGCTGGCTGGGGGGTGCCGGCACCGAGAATTGGATCTTTTTGCGGTCCTTGGGGTCCATGGCTGCAGGGTCTGCGCCGCTGCCCGGTGCCACACGGAGTTCGGCAGCGCCCGGGCTGAGCACGGTGAGGACTGAGCGGCGGGAGGTGGGGAAGGCAGAGCCGCGAGGAGGAGGAGGAGGAGGAGGAAGGAGAGGGAGGGAGGACACGGCTCCTACCAGCGCGCTGCATTATTCATCCCCCGGGCAGGGGGGCTGAGGCCATGGATAATGAGCCCTCGGGGAGCCAGGGAGGGGGGCTCGAGCCTGCCGGGCCCCTTAACCCGTTCCCCACCGGGGGGGGAGTAGGGGGGGACCGCAGTGGCTGCGTGGAACGGGACAGGGCTGTGTGTGGCTGTGGGCATCCGAGCGCCTGGAGCTTCAGTTTCTCTGCAAACTGGAGGGCAGAGTGGGCAGCCTGGCTGGGTGGAACACTGTGGGGCGCAGCTTTGGGGGCTGCCCCATGGCACGGGGACTCCTACTATGGGACAGGGTCTGCCTGGGGGACAGGGTCAGCCCCATAGGGGATATCTGTGGAGGTGGATCCCGTGGGCGCATGAGGACACAGCATCCTGAAATGTCCCATTGCCTGCGTGCTGAGGGTCCCCACCACCAGGGATGTCGCAGAACCAGAACACGGTGCTGTCACAGGATCACAGCTCTGGATCGCTGTGGTTTTCTCCATGGAAAATTCCCCCAAACCCAAACTCCTCTCCTGGAAGAACTGAAGACTCCAAAGCCGCTTATCTGCGGTTCCACCGCTCATAAAATCCAGGTGACTTTGGTCGGGACACGGGCTCGGGGACGCACCCACCCCTGGCTCGGCTCCAGCCCCCAGCCGTGTCCCCGCCCTTCCCGTGCTCCTTGCACGATGCTACACGAGCCGCGCTGCGCTCCCAGCCCCGTGTGGAAACGGCCGGTGCCGGCTGGATGTCACACACGGGACAGAAGGGCCGGGCGGTGCCGAGTGCGTGGAGGAAACCGAAGCAAGGAAGGGGGGGTGCCGGGCTCTGCCTTCTTATCTCCCGGTGTTCCAACGGCCACGAGTGGCTGCGGGCCAGGAGCTGTGGCTCCAGCAACATATTTACCCCTGTGGCACGGGGCCATGGAGCAGCCGCCCGGCACTGCGCGGCACAGCGCGGCCCCATGCGCACCACGTGCGGCCCGGTGCAAGAGCAGCCACGGGCTGCCGACACGGGCACAGCCCCGGGGGGGTGCTGTACTGGGGGGGGAGGATGAAGCCGGGATCCCTTGGCCACCCTGTGCCAAACCCTGAGCATCCTCCCTGTCCCCATCCTGCTCCCCAGTGTGGGACCCGTGGTTGTTATGGCAACAGGTTCCCGGGCTCCTTCCCGCTGCCGTTCCCTCTCCTCCCGCGCACGAAGGCGCAGTGTGAGGGGGTGGCCGGGTCCCCTCCCCGCTCTGCAGCACTGCGAGCACCCACAGCCCCAATAACAGCTCTGGGAGCGGCCCCCACCTGCTCCCATTCTGTCGCTGTGGGCACAGCTGGGATGGGTACCGGGTCACGGCGATGGGGTTGGAACGTGGCGCTGCAGCCGCTGCCCCATTGCATGCTTCTACGTACAGCCACACTGCAAAATGGCAATGGTGTGGACCTGTTCTTTGTGGTGTCAGTGTTGGCTGAGCCCTGCAGCTCCTTGGGCTGCTCCGGAGCAGTGCCGTGCCGTGCCGTGCCGTGCCGTGCCGTGCCATGCCGTGCCGTGCCGTGCCGTGGGGGCTGCAGCTCCGTGCAGCAGCAAATCCTCCTGCAGAGAAAGTAAAAATAGCAGCAGGGTGCGGGAGGCAGCGCTCACCCCCCACCTGCCAGCACTGGGAGGAATGGGAGCTTCGGTGCCACTATGGGGACAGCGCGGCCACAGGGACGGGCACTGCGGGGATGGAGAGCTGTGGGGATGCGGGGTGGTGGTGGGATCCTATGGGGGAATGGGGCGCTGCAGGGAGAGGGTGCGGGAGGGGTGCGGTGTTGTGGGGATGGGGATGCGTAGGGCTGGAACACGGTGGGGACGTAGCATCCTGGGGACGGGGAATCGTGGGGACAGGTCAGCGCGAGGATGGAGCATGGCGGGGCCGCGCACGTGGGAGGTGCACAGGAGGATGGCGGGACTCGGGTCCGAAAGGTGAGTGCCGGGTGGGAGGGGGCTGGGCAGCGGTGTGGGCGGGGCCAAGGATGGGGAGGGGTTTGGGGGGGGGGGGGGTCAGTGGGTGCCTCCGTGCTCCTCGTGCCCCCCATCCCGGGGAACCCTTTTGTCCCATCCATGGCAATCCTCCCTGCCCGGGCTGTTGGGGGTCCTGCAGAAAGTGGGGTTTTGGGGGGGGGGGCACTTTTGGGGTCCGCCCCCCTCCTACGTTTCCTCCCAACCCCCTCACCATCCCCGCAAAGTGCAGCGGGGGCGGCGGGCGGGGGCCGAGCGCTCCCTGGGGTGCAGAGGAGGTGCGGGAGTGGGAACACGCGTGGGAGAGCGCGGGGGAGCAGTGGGGAGGGGGAGGGGGGGGGTCGAGGGGGCCTTAACCCCTTCCGTGCTGAGAGCCGCCCTCCGGGAGAAGCCACAGGGAGAAAGAGGGGTTGGGGTCTGCTGCCCATTCCTTCCCCCTAAATGGTGCTGCGCTGGGAGTCGCGCCCTCCTCACACCCCAGCATCCCTCCGTGTGCTGTGGGGAAACTGAGGCACAGAGCAACCCTGGAGGGACGGTGGGGCTGCAACCCGCCCACCCCCTCCAGCCCCATACACCACGGGGGGGCTTTGCCCTCAAGGGCTGGGGGCTCTCACCCATTTCCCTTCAAACCCACGGGGCTCCAGGGAAGGCGCGGGGCGGGGTCGCGTCCCCATGTCCCCATCAGGACGCCGGGTGGGGGGAACGGAGAAGAAGGGCACGGCCCCGGTCCCTGCACGTCGGGGGGTCCCAACGCCGTGTCTCCAGGAGGTGGGCAGGGGCCCCGTTCCCGTGTCCCGGTGCCACCGGCGCTGCTGCGCTCGGCCGGCAGGTGTCAGCCCCGGCGCGGTGGCACGGCGGGGCCCGGGGGTGGGGAAGCGAAAAGGCACCGGAGCGGCTCTCCTGGTCCTCCCGGGGGCTGCGGGCATCGGGTCAGCACCGGGGAGGACGCACCGCATCGGGCACGCGGAGCCGGGCTCATCCTGCCCTGGGGGCTGCGAGGTTAAATGGGTGGGGACCCCAAAACCCGGCTCCCAAGGGGGCAGCAATGAGAGAAAACAGTGGGGCACCCCCGGCCCTGCCTCAGTTTCCCCGCCTGCAGCACGTCCTCCAAAAGCCCCAGGTGCTGCCGGGGGAGGCGACCCCGCGTACCCACTGCCCCATGCCCACCCCACTGCCATCACCACCGCTGTGTCCTGCTGGAATGAGGGGCCCTGCTGGGCTGGGGGCCGTCCTCCCCGTTCCCCCCCACCCCATAAGGACCCTCCAGGAAAGGGTGGGCGACCCACGCCGAGCCCAGCCGCCAAACACGGACCAGTTTGCTGCTTCCATTCCCAGAAGAAAGAATAAAGTTAAAACATCTGTTAATTTATAAACCAATTTAACCATGACTGGTTAATAAATAGCTAACAGCTGCCAGCCCCGCTACCCCGCCGCCCCACAGAGGGGCACTCTGGGAGCAGCCGGGCGCGCACATCTCGCGAGCTCTCCCCCCCCCCCCAAGCCCCCCCACCATTGTTGTGATTTGTCCCCAGCACAGAGTGCCCCCAGGGTCCCTGTGGGATGAGGGTGGCCTGGATGCATGTGGGGATGGGGGTGACCACGATGGAAGGGATGGGGAGATGTGGTCCCCGCTGTGAGGGTGGCACCTCTGTGTCAAGGAGGGGTCCTGGGTGAGGGGGTTTTGGGTGCAAATCCAGACAGAGGAATGCATGGGGAAGGGGGAGAGGGCAGCAGGTGGGGGTCCGGGAGACCCTGTGATGGGCAGCCGTGAAGGGGGGCGGTCAGTGCAGGCTGCAGCCATTGCTCCCATGTGAGGATGTGGGGCTGTGGGAAGGTGAGCCCCTGTGGGGGGGGGGGGGGGGACATTGTGGTGGAGTGGGAGCTGCTGCGTGTGTGTGTATGTGGGGTGCACACGTGTGTGTGTGCAGGGATGTGCACACGTGTGTGCATGTGTCGAATGTGAGCATGGGGTGTGTGTGTGTGTGCATGGGATGTGCAGAATTGTACGCATCAGATGTGCACACGGGATGCACCTGTGTGTGCATGGGATGCACCTGTGTGTGTGCACAGGATGTGTGTGTGCACGGGATGCACATGTGTGTGTGCATGGGATGTGTGTGTGCATGGGATGTGTGTGTGCATGGGATGTGCACATACATGTGCAGGGTCCTGTTCCTGCATGCCGTGTCCCTGCAGCAGGACATCACGCTGCACTCTGGGCCCTTCTGGCAGCTCAGCAGGAGCTGCAGGACGGCGCTGGGACGGATGGAGCCCTCCTGGTGCCGAGTGGGTCGGGGCTGGAGCAGGGCTGGATGGGTGGGGGGCGATGGTGTGGGGTGATGGGGGTCTCCGTGCCGGGTGTGATCCCCCTCGCATCCGTGTGAGCCCCGACACATGTCGCAATAGTAATGTAATTTGTAAGTTAACAATGGGCAGCTTGAGGTTTATATTTAATTACAACGTTTGCACCAACCTGAACTCACCCTTATTCATCAATAATGCATGGGTTTGTGTTTATCGCTGCTTAATTAATCTGTGCTTACGACAATTAAAGGCTTGCAAAATCCCCAAAGGTGGCGGCAGGGAGCGGCTGCTCGGCAGCAGGGGGAGCACGGGCAGAAGCTGCGGGTCGGGAGGGGGCAGCGGCCGGACCCCCTTTCCCCCCCCCACAGCGGGGCGGTAGAATGGAGCAGCCCCGCGCCCAGCGCCCATCGGCGCCGCCCCACCGCCTGCCTCAGTTTCCCCGATCCCTTCACACCTCCTCGCCCGCTGTGCCCCCCTTGCTTGCCGCTCCCTCTCCCCCCCTCCCTTGCCCACCCCCTCAGCAGGACCGGGGGCTGCGGGCAGTCGATGCCAGCCCGGCTCTGGCCCTTTAAGCACGGCGCGGCGCGGCTGTCCCGGATCAGCCGGAGCGCCTATTAAAATTTTATGCGAAGTGTAAATGGGCCAGGTCTCCAGCTTCCCGCTCCCTCCGAATGATTTATTACTCGCAAATACCACAGAACTAATTAGTATAGTAATTAATTAATACGAATTTGCATATTTGCATGTGCAATTAGTGCAGTGGAGTGATTACTCTGAAAATGAGAAGTTGGGCTTGTCAGATGGTAGTGTGAACTGGAGTGGAAAAGCCTCGTGCAAATGAACCCGGGCGGCGGCGGCACGCGGCGGCACACGGCCCCGGCCCCACGCGCACCGGGAGGGCACGCGGCCCCACGTGGCCCCACAGCGGGGCTTCGGTCCCCCGACCCACGGCCCCATCCCGGCCCTGGGCCCCGCCGTGGGGACCGCTCCATCCATCGGCCATCTCCATGGCGACTCGTCGTGCCAGGCGCGTCGCCATGGCAACGGGCCGGGCCACGCAGCCTCGCCATGGCGACTGTCGTCACCGTGTCGCCATGGAGATTTACACCCCCCCGCCAGCGTTCCCCCGCGCGCCCCCCCTTCAACTTCCCCAAATCCGCTCCCTGCCGAATGGCACGGGGTTTTGGGATGGGGGATCCGACGCTCCTCCATACGGGGGTCTCCGAGGTGCCCTGGGATGGTGGTCCCTGAAGAGGCAGGAGGAGGGATGGCGGTACCTGGAGCACCCAGAAATGGCCCCCAAGTCGCCCCTGAAGCATCCAAGGATGAGGAATAAAAGCTGAATGAAGTGGGGAGACCCCAGATCGCCCTGGGATGAGTGAGGAGAGCCAAA